TCTCAGTAAATTTCACCATCATACGCGTCCTACAGTTGGCTCTTCTTGAATTTGTGAGCTTGGCTGGCCCACTAGACGATAACGAACCAATTCATAAGTATGTTCCTTCATAACCGCTGATAATTACTATAGTAAATGTAGCTGCATCGATTAATATTGACATATCCTTATCATTGTAATCCATCAAATATTCTCCTAAACTGTCAGCAAGTGAAAAAGAAATATTCTTCAATGCCTTACAGTAATCATGGTAATATATAACATGAATAAAGCGTGATCAGTTCCAAAGAAAGACCTGCAATCAAATTAAGGAACAACTAGAACAAAACTGAAGGTGTAAATAATTTATTTGCATACTACTTTTTAACATAATGTTAAAAAATTGATCAATTAATACAATGTCTAGACCAAAATCACAAAGACATATGTTGGAATAATGACAGAAGTGAAGTAGCAATGAATTATGTTTGTCTGTTTAAGGACACACTCAGCAATATTCCAGATATATAACGGCAGTCAGTAGATAATCGAGTCTGGACCAGACAATTCAGTGATTGACATCATGGGCATCGATCCATGCAGTAGGGATACGATGACATGCATCAACCAAGTCAGCTAGCCTGACCACCAGATCACGTTAGACCCTCTTACGACAATCATAGTCACCTAATATGGCAAGCATGGGTTGCTGAAGACCTGTTCTGACAGGCAATGAAATTATGACATCTGAACATAATTATTCCAGTATGGTAACAATATTATACAATTTCAAGTCACTGATTAAGAACACTAGTCATGTACATTGCTCATTCCTAGATCCAAACAAAATCTTTCAATTTACAGAACGTATCGCTATGTGGCATACCGCCGATTTACAAGATGGATCCATGGAAGGCTAAGAAAATATGATCGTCGTCCTATACCATCATGTGTGGTGACTGCAATTAGGGAACACTTTCCATCTGAAGAAGTGGCAGGGTTCAAGTACTATAGACCTTCTTAATGCATTAGACACATATGATTTCAGTTTATACACCATGCACCTATGACTCAGTTTATACACCAGTGACTTATGACTTCAGTTTCATACATGAGACACTTATGACTTCAGGTCATACATGAGACACTTATGACTTCAGGTCATACATGAGACACTTATGATTTCAGTTTATACATCAGACACTTATGACTTCAGGTCATACATGAGACACTTATGATTTCAGTTCATACGTGAGACACTAAAAAGTCTAAATAGATTATCCAAATATCACAATGAAAGCTAAAATAGTTACAATTACGGAATTAATCAAATTTGATTCTGAGCAGAATCAATATATGAAATGTTAGAATAAATCACTTACATGACACCTGACACTCGAAATGTTGTTTTCCACTGCCAGACTCAACACAAGTTTGAACAGGCTCGAATGTTGACATGTCCTACTGAATATCTGTACCTCCGGACTGTCCACAATCTTGTGTTGCTTTGAAACTATCATATGCTTCTTTCAGATCCTAAAACGGGAAAATAATTAATTTAGACTTTGTGATTTTATTTCACATTCTAGATCTATTTAATTTTACAAAATATAAATTATATAAATCGTAGACAATTATGACAATTCTGATTTTTTCTTAAACTAAGTAACCTTGCGACTAGTGTATGTAGGAGGAATGCCCAATCCCTCAATGGGTGACAAGCTAGCTACTGCCAAAACCTACGAGATGCGCGAAAACTGTGACATAAAAACAAAGTACAGTAAAATCGATCTACACCCAACAACTCTGGTAAATGAAAACTGCGAGAGATACAAACAAGCATATTATATCATACGACTCAATATTGTGAATCAAGTTCATATCTACTTCACTCACTTTGTTCTAACCGTTGTCGCTTCTGAAAAGCCCCCCTCTCGGTGAACGTGGCACTTTTGGTGATATTCTTGCTCGTGCCGTCGATAACCAGGGGAATGTCCGGTGCAGCATGCTTAAAAAGCTTGGTTTTAGCTTTCGTGTAGCCATACTGTGCCATGAACTCGGGATCCCTTTCATAATTCTTCTTCAAGAAATGTAAGGAGCACAACGTGCTGTGTTTGCTTATGTCTTTGAGTTTGACATCAGCACGTCGACAATATGCCATCCACAGCTTTCTTCTTGGCAGATCGCGGGGAAATCCATGGAAATGAAGGCCTGAAGTATTCGTAGCACTGGAAGTGCACCCGAATGCGAGACAATACGGCATATTGTCACTACAACTTCATTCAAAATATAGCGCGTTGAACGATCAACACATAGCGGACTGCCGGTATGACGTCACAGCCACAGGAGGCTAACCGCTAAATAAAAAACTATGCATACGAGTGGGTGGAGCCAAAGTGTTCTAGGTTTTGGAGCATAATAATAATAATTACGAATTTTTTTCAAAAATCGACTATGCAGATTTGGTATAAGTTCATGTTTGAATGGAATTCTGTAAGAAAAATGCACTGTTCGTAGCCTTTTTAATAATCCTTTAAGTCTCTAAGGCACATAGACTTCTTGAAACAGTTGAGTCTTTAACAGCTTTTGGAAGTGGTCAGTTCTCTTAGTTGACTTTATTGAGAGAGGACCAGAATTAAGTTGACACATCTTTATGTAACTGAAATACTGTTAAGCACCATAAAAAGCAACGCACTCATCTCCTGAATAGGTCTTCAGCAACCCTTGCTTGTTGTAAGAGGTGACTAACGTGATCATGTGGTCAGGCTCACTGACTTGGTTGATGCATGTCATTGTATCCCAATTGCATGGATTGATGCTTATGACATCATTCACTGTATTGTCTGGTCCAGACTTGATTAATTACAGTCCGCCGTCATATAGCTAGAATATTGCTGAGTGCTGCATAAAACAAACAAATCTCCCTTGATCCTTCAGCACTCACATCAACCAACCTCTTTTATCAATATTCTCAAAATGCAAACAAAATTTAACCAATCTATTTCACTGTTCAAGGACACCATGTGTATAAACTCTTTGTAAAGTGAGGCAGTATTCGCTGCCGCTGTTTATTATTGTTATTTCTGGCATTACTGGTAAGGATGTCCATGTATGTGTACAGATATTGACCGTGGGATTTTGACCTGAAGTGACCAGATGCTTAAGAAATTAGGTCACAGGTCAATGTTCTTCATTCACCAAATAGAAGCTGTCCGTCCATTCTTGAGTATAGCTTGATCAGCAGTCTGAGATGTAAACAATTCTTAACGATTTGGGATAAGTTTGTGTTATATTTTATTTTTCATTAAAACTGCTGGGAATTCTGGGTTAGAATTCATCCCTAGCACCCTTTGCTTGTTATAGGAAGCAACATAATGGCCCGGGAATAACTTGGTGATGTGGTTGATTGGAAGTCAGCACACCCTGAATACTTGTTTGCTCATGATATCAATCACTGGACTAATTGACAACAACAAACAAACAAACCTCATCAAACGGTTGAATCAGTCAACAGTTCTAGATGATGGTCCTGCTATGAGAGCACATGAATAATGCTTTACGCAAAATAACAGCATCAAGTGAGTCAACTGGCTGACACTCACTTCCCTCAGCATGGCTCTGCGAGGCCAGTATATTTAGCATCCTGGACCAAAAGAAGCGCTGATGTCAGGGACTCAGATTTTCTCCAGTTTGGACCCTTTTTTTCGACCTCCACTCCTATGAAGCTGAAGCTTTTTTGAACAATTTTTTGCAAATGTAGTATAATAATAATAATGCCATCAGAACTTCATAAATGTTACTCTGCATTGATTTGGAACCACTAATTTTACAGACACTGAATTGAAATTGGTTTTCTGGGTAGTATTTAATACTATATATTTTAGTACTATTTTTCTAAGTCTCCTTTTTAATTCCCGCCCCCAACAAAGTTGGCGAGGGATATAGAAATGGGTTCCAAGCGTGCGTGCATGCGTGCGTCCCGAAATCGTTTCTGGAGCATAACTCAGAAACCGTTAAATATTTCTCTACAAAACTTTGCATGTCTATCAGACTCATGCTGAACTGGTGCTTTTTGCTATTTATGAATTTTACAAATTTTTATTTTTTACGTTTCCATGGCAACAAGTTGGACTTAGGTTCTTTAAGGGTGCTGTTCGTTTCCGGAGCGTAACTCAAAAACCGTTAAATAATTTCTTACAAAACTTTGCATGTTTACCAAACACATACTGAAATGGTGCCATTTGATATTAAGGAGTTTTATAAATGTTTATTTTAGAATTTCCATTGCAGCTATTTTGACATGGCCTAAGAGAAATGTTGGGTCAGTTACCTGGTTTGGGAACATAACGTGTTAAAATGGCGGGGGATATAGATTACTTCGTCGACTATACGCTTGTTAACTTTGTTTTTGTCCCATGATTTTGATTATAATCAGCATGCTTGTCCGTCTGTCTGTTTCCCATTTCCGGAGCAGAACTCCTAAACCGTTGTTGAAACCTTGCTATACAGATCAGATTGGGGAACCTGTGGGTTTTAATGAGTCTTTTCGTCTCTGAACTGAAGGTTTCCAATGGCAATGAACCAAGCATGGGGTATAAGTAGCCAAACTCCATTTCTGAATTGCACCACGATGAGCGATATGTCGTCTCCTGATGACTCTTGTTTTACTTATATTTATTGATTTCATTTCGGCTCTTTGCCATGTTTTTCTTGTGTGGCTGTATTCAGTTTTGTGATGGTGCTTTGTAAGCAGTTAATCTGGTCTCCCTGCTCAAATAGCTCATGTTAGCCCCCACAGAGTTACATCGCTTTGGCGTGCCATGGTCCTATGACTGTGGTTTGAATCTCTGATTATGACCGCCTGTTTGTCAGCACCGTGCTCATGGGTATCCCCAAAATGGTAAATGTTGTTACGTCCTCCATCATTGTTGGCCCTCTGCCACATGGCTACAATACACTTCCCAGTACAAGGCAGGACACAGTAGCATGAACAGTGTGTCATGATGAAGTTTATGTTGCAGAGCCGAACCGCCCCAGCACCCAGACCCAGCCTGAGGAGTGGGAGGAGCCACAGCAGGAAGGTACGTCGTACAACAACACCGTGTGGGAAACAGCCACCTGCCCACTAACCCGTGGCTAGTGATCCGTGGCTCAATCTCATTAAAATCAGATCTTAGTTCTCGCTACCGCTAAACAAAGATCTGAGGACATCCCATTAGGGGTCACGTCAGAACGACCTTTCATCCGACCAATCAGAGCGTCGCTTACCAGATCATGAAAGTGACATTCGGATTTCTAATCATTCAGCCTCAACTGAATCTATACAATCTGGACAATATATTATCCATTTGAGAGTGTTCTTTTGTTCAGGTTTCAAATTTCTAAGCGATAATTTGTCAAACTATGTTTCGAAGCGTAGTCGCCAATTTGCAATTAGTGCAGTAAAGGACGAGAAAGCTGCCTTCTGATTGGCCAATGTCGACTTCTTGTCAGTAATTCCATTGGTCGGTCAGAGTTCCCGAAAGGTCGGTCTGACGTGACCTGTAATGGGATGTCCTCAGATCTTTGTTTAGCAGCAACGAGAACTAAGATCTGATTTTAATGAGATTGTCCGTGGCTAAAATTTCAGGTGGGCTAAAGATGCCGAAATTTCCCCAGCCTGACTGGTTTCACAAATCAGAATAAAAAACTTCTCCATTTCTGCAGATCAATGCAAACATCAAAACTATCAAATAAAATTAATATCTGTAACCAATCGAGGTTAATATCAGAGTTACCCCCCTTCATGATATTGGACTCATGGTGTGCTATTTGTTTTTACTTTATTGTACCTTCGCAGAATCAGATTTGTTAAAAAATAAATTGTTGCATACTTAAGCAAGTGACATTTGAATCTGGTTAGTAACTTTTAAGGCTAGCTAGCCCACCTGGCAAACAATGTGTTGAGACTATTTCACACACTGCTACAACATGCAACGAGTTTAGCAAAAAGTCTGAATCACGAGGCTAGTAATGTTTACTAAGATCAGCTTATGCTAGTCCATATGCTACGACTTAAATAACTGAAAAAAATGCCAAAACACAAGCTTGGGTCAGTAGACTCAGAAGATTTGTGCACAGACCTCTATAACATCTTGTCAGTGTTCCTCAAGTTTTTTGCATTACGGATAAGGTTAAACTGGTTGACCCAGAGTTGCCAAGTGGCCAACCACTTCATGCCAACTGGTCTACTATTCCATATCAGCGAGTCGTGAGTCGAACCTGGCCATTTTGCCACCACGTTGGTAAAGCTGTAATAGTAAAATTGCTCCCCTTAAACAAAAGACAATGCCTTTGTTTCCATTAAAGTAATTGAAATATTTTTCTATTGATTATCTATTATATATTATAAACAATCTATTATAATCAGACTATTTAAACCTTTCGGATTTGCTAAATTTGATTACATTCACACTGATATTCCTACATTTTGAAAACATTGTAAATTCTTATACTTAATCATTTCCTCTTGACCTGTCAAATCAGTCCAATGAATAATTGGAAGTAAAATGTTTGTTAAAAATAAAATAAAATGTTTCAGAGGAGGAAGAAGTGGAGACAAGCACATCGGAGCAGGAGTTCGACTTCATGGGGTTTATTTTAACGTAGGTACATCCAGTGAGGGTGGGAACCTTTGACATGGAGCTCGGTAATAGTGTATATTTGTTTGGCCCTGTAAATAATATTCGTAAAAAAGAATGTCAGGTTATTTAGATGGAATATGTTATGTGAGTGAGAAATATTTGGTCAATTGTTTCAAAGTTTTTCAGTTGGTGACAAGACTACAGACAAAGGTTGAGATATCTTCCTGAGGCAAGGGAGTTAACTGGCTGTAAAAGTCCAGTTTCCACCCTTGCCGAACTTGGCAGTTATTATGTACTTACATTTTGGCTGGACTTACGAGTCTATGCATAGTCCAATCAAAATTGTGTAACGATCTAGACATTCAGTTTGTAAACAACATGGATTTCAACATGCAGATTCAGGTCGACTGCATGATTTGAAAAGCATATGTTCTGCCAACATTTCATCGACAGATATTTTGCAAATTCTTTCATCAAGGTGCACACATGATTTGATGCACTTCGGGTAAGACCCATTGTATTACAATATAGATCTTGATTATCGAGCAGATTGTCTTGACTGTGCGCCTCCATTTTGTTTGAAGCAAATGCAAGTGATTTGAGACATGTAATCTGATTGGTCAATAGGAGGAACATAGAAGGGATATAACTCGTAATAGCCACTGGTGGAGCTACGATCGAGCCTAGAAATTCCAGCCTAGTTTGGCAAGGGTGGAAACTGGACTTTTACAGTCAGCTAACTCCCTTGCCACAGGAAGATGAGGTTGAGATGGATTAACTTTCTATCTTTCTGGGTGTTGTTCCACAGAGCGATCTTTGCACTACGACTTTCGTGAGCCTTTGTTAAAGTATGAGAGTTACAATTTTCCTGGGACTAAGATCGATTTTTGGAACATGGCCCTGGGGTGTAGAAATATGTTTATGACTGCTTTAGTCCTCATTATTCAGGGAAGCACTGAGATAATGAGACATTCTCCTGTATCAACCCATACTTGCCGTAAAAGGCGACTCTGCTTGTCGTAAAAGGCGACTAACAGGATCTGGTGGTCAGGCTCGCTGACTTAGTTGATACATGTCATCGATGCTTGTGATGTCAATCACTGGATTGTCTGGTCCAGACTCGATTATTTTACAGCCCGCCGTCATATAGCTGGAATATTGCTGAGAGCGGCGTTAAACAAACAAACAAACAAACAAACATTCTCCTCTATACCATAGCTTTTATAGGATCACCTGAGGGGACGAGCATCTTATGGGATTTCGTTATTCATTGTTAAGTGTTTGTCAGTGAGGTAAAGTTTCACATCATTCTAGTCATATCAGCATTGTTTCCGCCGACCCCATGGGGATTCACCCTGCGTTTCTGCCCACCCAGGTTCAGCAAGCCGGAGATACTGAAGGCCTATGGAATCCTGCTGTCCGACTTCGAGAAGAACTCAGACCATACCAACCACTGTATCGTCAAGATGCTCCACCGGGTCGCCTTTGACCTTGGCTACACAGCCATGGTCTTCCAGGCGTCCATATTCCGCGTCTTTCAGAAAGTTCTCCTTGGCCCTTATGCCAGACTTTCACGTTTCCGGGTACGAGTGCCATGTCAATGTGTATATCAGGGGACTTTTCCCTCGTTCCTCTGACCCGTGAAGATTCCGGGGTAGAATAGGTCTTCAGCAACCCATGCTTGCAGTAAAAGGTGACTATGCTTGTCGTAAAAGGCGACTAACAGGATCGGGTGGTCAGGCTCGCTGACTTGGTTGATGCATGCCGCCGTCATATAGCTGGAATATTGTTGAGTGCGGTGTAAAACAACAAACCAACCAACCAACCTAGTACCTCTGGTTAAACTTTGGATGCAATTTCCAAATGTCCTTGATTGAATATCTTTATCAATAACACGGCGTAATATCAACAATGTTCCAAATTATGTGTAAAGGGGCTGATCCATTTATGAAAGGGAGGGGTCGAATATATCAGAATTTCTCTCAGATGTTTGGCTGCATACTCAGTTTGGTTTTCGTGGGGGTGGGTGGTGGGATCTTTGGATCAGCCTATGAAAGTGAAGGGGTCTGTATCTTTGCCCTAATGCTAAAAGTTAAATCTCTACATTCAGGATCCACTGTATTTCCGACACTCATCAACCACTGTCGGAAAGAGCAGCCTGCCTGCTAGCAAGACTGCTAGTGGATTGTTATGCAGACTATTTCATACACTGACGTTACCACTTTCCTTGTCTTGAAATATGGATATGTTTTCAATGGCCCTCGGTGCTTGTGTTAACTTTGATTTTAACTCGGAGTTCAGGTGACTGATTTTTTGTTCCAATTAGATGTTAGAAGTATGTGTCGGAAGTCTGCAACAGTTTTTTCATTGTCCTCAGGAGATGATAAAGTTTGGTACCCACATCGTCCGGCGGTTTGTGGAGACGGCAGAACAGAACAAGAAGGTGTTTATGGAGTTGCTGTTCTGGAAGGGAAGCAAGGAGGCCATGGAGATCTGCCATGGTTACGGCACCGTCAGGTGAGGATATCACACTCCGGGACAGGGTGACGCATCTGTGGATAGTGCTACTTGGCATGGATAGTGCTACTTGGCATGGATAGTGCTACTTGGCATGGATAGTGCTTGAAGGGTTGACTGTAGGACTAGCTTCAACTGTCCCCAGTTTCAGAGATTGTAGCCTTAGAATCTATGAGTCTTTGAGTATGTGACATTTACATTACAAGTGCGTTTTCCCCCAATGTCTTGAGATGAAATGGGGTTTAATGTCACATCCAAGATTATTGCACTTATATAACGACATGCAGGCGTCTGTGTCTGTGTCTGTGTCTGTGTTTGTTTGTGTGGCTGCTTGTACTAGTCCAAACTAATGCTGATTTTATAGTGCTACCCCACTCAGACACAGTATACTGACTCCGAGCGGACCAGTCCTTGTTTTAGCCCTTTATGCTGAGCTTCAGTCAGGGTAAAAACAAGTAACATCTTTTGACATCTTTTGGTATGACGCGACCGGAGATCAAACCCTGACCCCTGCTCTTCGGGGGATGATCCACCGCTAGACCACAGAGGCGGTCCCACTGTCTTGACTAAATGAATCTGTTGTTCGCTTGTAACAGTTTTTAGGCTGTTGACCACTGTTTTTCTATTCTCATAGACATATTTTTGTTCTCAGCATCATTTTGAGGCATTAGGCAACCAGATACCATCCTTACCTGACACCTCACTGAAAAATAATTGCCTGATAAGAGATTATGTATATATTTTTGCATAAATGTAAACGATATTTCTTTTTCTTGTGAATGACCTGCAAAGTTGACATTTTCGTGGGTAGCGCAGATAAGATATATGTTATTGACTTGAAAAAGACATATATTTTGTAGCTTGATTTTCATAATCTTACTCTGAAAATCATAGTGTCTTTGAGGTATACTGAAAGTAGTTCCGGCATTAAGTGTTATTTGGCCTGTATTGATACAGAATGATTGTGTATGAGACACTGATCACTGACAGGTACATCTCTGTATGTAGTTTTCTTAGTTTTACATTTATGCTTGCTATTTAATAGATATGCCCTAGTCCTGTGAAAGTTGTCTCCCTTTGACACTCGACTTCTTGGGCTTTTTACACTGTCTGAGACATCATTTGACTTGTATGGGGTTTCCTGCACTGTCAACTTTTGACGTGTATGAGACTTTGTGCACTGTCTTTGTCAACTGTGTCATCACGTGTCCTAGTCCTATGTTGTGTAAACCTGAGTGTGAGCCCCCTCTGTTGCAGCTCATCCAAGGGCAAGGTGCAGTGGTCTGAGGAGCTGGAGCAGGAGCTGCTGCGACTCTATGATGAATTCCGCGATGCAGAACACCCAGGTAAGACTTGTGTACAGGAGGAACAGATGCTGGTCTGTAAATAAAGTCTGGACCGGACAATCCAGTGATTGACAAGAGCATCGATCCATGCAGTTGAGATACATTGACATGTAACGAGCCAGCCTAACCACCCGATCTATTTACCAGTAGTTGCCTCTTACGACAAAAGCATATTTTTTAATCCTGGATAAGTCCCAGTTCATAGTCTAAATATGATGATATTGAAAAGGCTTGCTGAATTCTTTTGCTGTGAGAGGACACAGGTGGCCCAGTCTAAGGCGCCACAGTTCAGTATGCAGGTTTGCGTCCTTTAGACACGTCAGAAACATGATTGTGGGTTCAAATACCACTTCACCCCGATCATGTTTTTAGGTTTGTCCAGACCAGTGCTGGTGGGTTTCACCAAAGTGGTAAAGACCTGCGTGAAGCAGACATGAGTGATATCACTTTAGCTTGTGAGTGAGTGAGTGCTTCTTTTAGCAATATTCCAGCAATATCACAGCGGGGGGACACCAGAAATGGGCTTCACAAATTGTACCAACATGGGGAATCGAACCCAGGTCTTCAGCTTGACGAGCGAACGCTTCAACCACTAGGCTACCCGACCGCCCCCTTTAGCTTGTGGTGTTCAAGAATATAGACATGGGGAAGTTGTAGCAGTTTGATCACTTTGATTAGCAATGGACCTTTAGTTTATTAATAAAATAAATAAATACTTAATACAGTTATAATGTGACATTTAAGAAATATTGTTTGTTTTGATGTTGTTTTATGAACAATGCAGTGGTTTTTTTACATATTTGATAAAGTATTAAAATATTACATTTAAGAAAAAGACACAGTTGACCTCATCATGGAACGTCTCACTGACCCCAGCAAGACTCGAGGTCAGGTCATCCGTGAACTGAAGAAACAGGGTTTGATTGGCAGTGCCAAGGAGCTGAAGAAGAAACCCTCGGGGTGAGCACACAGTGATCAGTACTGGGGGAGAGACACATCAGTCCTGGGGGAGACACATCAGTCCTGGGGGAGAGACACATCAGTCCTGGGGGAGACACACCAGTCCTGGGGGAGGCACACCAGTCCTGGGGGAGACACATCAGTCCTGGGGGAGACACACATCAGTCATGGGGGAGGCACACCAGTCCTGGGGGAGACACACATCAGTCCTGGGGGAGACACATCAGTCATGGGGGAGACACAAATCACTCCTGGGGGAGACACATCAGTCATGGGGGAGACACATCAGTCCTGGGGGAGAGACACATCAGTCCTGGGGGAGACACACATCAGTCATGGGGGAGACACACATCAGTCCTGGGGGAGACACACATCTGTCCTGGGAGAGAGACACATCAGTCCTTGGGGAGACACACATCAGTCCTTGGGGAGACACACATCAGTCCTTGGGGAGACACACATCAGTCCTGGGGAAGGCACAAATCAGTCCTTGGGGAGGCACACATCTGTCCTGGGGGAGAGACACATCAGTCCTGGGGAGACACACATCAGTCCTGGGGGAGGCACACATCAGTCCTTGGGGAGACACACATCAGTCCTGGGGGAGGCACACATCAGTCGTGGGGGAGAGACACATCTGTCCTGGGGGAGAGACACATCAGTCCTGGGGGAGGCACACATCAGTCCTTGGGAGGCACACATCAGTCCTGGGGGAGGCACACATCAGTCCTGGGGGAGGCACACATCTGTCCTGGGGGAGAGACACATCAGTCCTGGGGGAGACACACATCAGTCCTGGGGGAGACACACATCAGTCCTGGGGGAGGCACATCAGTCCTGGGGAGACACACATCAGTCCTGGGGGACCTTTTTCCACAAGGTGGCAATGTAACTAAAGCAATGTCAAACCAACTTGCCACTCACTTATTTTCTTCTTCTTCTCAGTATAAGTCGCAGTGGCCCCTGGCGGGAAGAGGAGGAACTACAACTGACTGACCTCTACCATCAGTTCAAGGACTCCAGTGGTTGGTTGTTTTCTCTGTTTTGACTGTTGGTGATGATTGTGGTGGTGGTGTTTATGAAGGACAAAATATATCCAGTAATATGTGAGTCGTGGAAGTTTGCCTTGGCTAGCAGATTGGTTACTCAGACTGTAACGATTCACGATTCATGTTGTAGCACATCTGTGTGCTGCATGCAGGTATTAAGTTAGGCAACATTTATTGCAGAGTGTATGTGGATGAGGCAACAGATTTTGTGCGAAATACGCTTCTATTCACCCAGCAGTAGTGAAATGGTAATGCACTGTTAGGTTTGAATACTTCCCACGGAACTGAGAATGAAATTTGTGTAGTCGCTAATCCAAAGACCGGGGTAACAATAATGTAGCTGCTTTTGTCTGTTAACTTAATGCAGTTTTAATGGAATTATTGTTTTGGGTTTTTTTGTCATTAAAGTATCGGAGCATCACGAAACTTAGTGGGGTGAAGTTGTTCAAGACAAGTACTTTCTCCTTTGGCTGAGAAAGAATACCAAAGTACCAACACGACACATTGTTATTCCTCAAAAAGAATCTTGCAATTCCATTGGTTAATCCGTACCACGTGAGGAAACAATACATTTCAATGTAGACACTGAATCATGTGACTGACACTGATCTCGAATATTGACTCGTCACATGATCAGTATTGACCTGTCACGTGATGGATATTGACTCGTCTGCTAGAAAACAAGATGGCGTCAAGTACAAACATTTCATTGTTCGCAGCTGAGTTAATGTAATGAAACAGAATGGTTTAAAGACTTCATAAACTTTAAACTGAATTTCGGTATAATAAAACAAATGATTACTCTTGACGAGGTCAATATGCAAAGACAAGGACCCTCAGACCCGACCCCTTTGGTCCGGTCAGACAACCTTGGGGGTCAGGACCTCAGGTCCTTGTTGTCTCATATTGACCTGATCAAGAGTAATTATTTGTATATAATGATGTTAAACACCATCCATGAAACCATGTCTGACCAGTAACAAAATACTGTCCTGGCCTTCCTTGTCCCGTGTTTTACACTGGCAATTATGAATCCTGTCCAAAGGATGATAATTATATTATATCCATGTTCACAATCAATGTCTGTGTAAATTGCTTCTACGCTCATACAGCTGTACAACAGACATGTTAGACTGTAAGGGTTGAGTTTTCACTTCAATTATTCTAAGCCTCCAAAAAACTCAACTAGTTTGATTCAGATTTTTTTATGTTTTGCCAATATGGATCATATTATCTTGAGCCTTTGAAATCAAATCCGAAATATGGTTCTGCCATTATATGGTACTTTAACAACAAAAATAACATTTAAATGACTCAATTTTGGCTACCAAACACAAATTGTTTCTAGAATTATTTGCTTGGATTTTTGTATCCAAATAGCTGTATCCCTGCTTGTCAGGTCCACAGGGAAATAAAGTTTGCTCATTTTGACAGATCCTCTGGGAAACATCTTGTCTAACCTGACCAACAAGAGGTCAAAGGCCAAGGTCATTGAGAAGCTGATCAATCTGAGTTTGGTGAATGATCGGAAGGAGTTGTACAAGAAACGGAAGCGCAAGTCTGGCAAGGCGGGGTCGGACAGTGAGGATGACGTGAGGAGAGGAAGCGACAGCGATGACGGGTCTGTCAACAATGATGACGGTACGGATGAAGGGGACAATTAAAATCAGATTGGAAATCTTAAAAACATTTTACCTCTCCAGACAGAAAGTCAAGTGAGCTCATGTCATGGCCGAGTTATTGATGTTGTCTGTCAACACCATCTCCTCAGAAACAACTGGACCAATAAGGTTGCTCCAAATGTAATCAACTGTGGGATATATATAGTGTTATAGCTGTTTGGTTGGTCATTAAGACTCTCCTACCCAGACTTCCATGCAGCCAGGGGGCGGTCGGGTAGCCTAGTGGTTTAAGCGTTCGCTCGTCACGCCGAAGACCCGGGTTCGATTCCTGACATGGGTACAATGTGTGAAGCCCATTTCTGGTGTCCCCTGCCGTGATATTGCTGGAATATTGCTAAAAGCGCAATAACCATACTCACTCACTCACTCACTCACTCCATGCAGCCAGAATACCTCTGCCACAGACTAGTGCCATGTGACGATTCATCACATCTTACTCAGTCCATTCAAGATATTGTATGTGTTTTTCAGCTGTTTCATTTTTGACAAAACTACACATAGATAACATATGTCATAGAATGGTTAACTTCCATTGAGAAATATATCAAAACGTGTTTGCGTAGTTATCAGTTGTATGGTTGTATGGCTCACATGTTGTCCTTAAAGCCCTACGGAGAGCTATGAATACGGATACTTTGATGTGTAAAGATATATTGTCATGCACCTCACTGTCGCAGTTGTAGAAGCGTATCTAGATAATGCAAAACAATATGTAGAGAGCACCGAAAGGCTTGCATTCGGCCAGTCTGATTTCAGAATAATCGTGTTTGTCTGGTCACATGATATGCAAACTAGCCTGTGGCTGTGGTGTTATGCTTAGTCCCATAACAGAGTGTGCTCTACCTTACCATAAAAAGGTTTTGCTGTATTCTTTCAGGTTTTGAAGGAGGACATGAGAGGTTTGTATCTTCAGCCAGCGAGAGCTCCAGTGAGGAGGAAACAGACCAAGGAAGCACAGCAGGGGGAGGGGAGGAGACTCGTTCGGTGGAACAGCGACTCAAGTCAGTTGTGCAGAACGGCTACAGAGATCAGATTGTCTGGATACAGAGGGGGCTGAGGAGAACAGCCGAGGACAGGGAGAGGGATGGTAGGAGATGTGTTAACTATGTAGACAATAGAGTTAGGGCTGTGACTGTTCGTATGGTGTCATGCATCTTGGGACTTGATACAAGTATAGTACCATGAAGTCATGCGTCACTACAGACTGCTGCAACGATATATAAAGATGGCATGTTCTATGAATTGTTATTATGATTCAGCCTAACAACATGTCCTGTTTTGCAGACCTGTGAAGATTCCGGGGTAGAATAGGTTTCAGCAACCCATGCTTGCCGTAAAAGGTGACTATGCTTGTCGTAAAAGGCGACTAACGGGATCCGGTGGTCAGGCTTGCTGACTTGGTTGATGCATGTAATCGATCCCAATAGCGTGGACCAATGTTCATGACATTAATCACTGGATTGTCTGGTCCAGACGTGATTATTTACAGACCGCGGTCATATAGCTGGAATATTGCTGAGTGCGGCGTTAAACAACAAACCAACCAACCAACAACCTGTTTTGCAAAGTTTAAAAATGACTGTCACTCCAACAAACTCGCTAAGAGTAAGGGCAAAACTGTATGAATGTCGAAGCTTGCGATAATGTTTGGGCATGAAGTAAGCTCAAATGCTGTGTTCAAAATTGAAGGGGTTGAAATGATAAGAAACAATGCTTCTGTATGTATTCATGCTTGGGAATTTCCAAGGGGTTTCCCAGAAATGTGGAAGTAGTCCGTCAGTGTTTATGTCATTTCAAGAATACAGTCTTGTGATGAACGTCAAATTGTGTCGTTCATACGCTAATGAACCTCAGCCTCGTGGTCATGTGACCAGCCTTTAATCAGTGGAGAAGCAGAATATCGTGTAAACATCACAGTACAAAATTTGAAGATTGTTGTAATGTAGCCTGACACCTTGTCTTGTGCTGACAGACTACAGAGTGGCCGTCCCGATCGTGCCTCTGACGGAAGACAATGAGACAGCAATGGAGGACAAGATGTTCCTCGACTTCCTCCAGCTCATCGGGATATCTCCTCCCGCCAACGAACAGGTGAGGAACAGGACCAGCATGTCCTGGTGGGTGGTTCTACAGTGCCACAGCTCGGTGTCCCTCATCCTCCAAAGATATGCTGTATGCTGGTTGAAAGTCCAGATTCACCCCCAATATGTTTATCATGGTTTGTTCGTTATTTACTGTCACTCTCCACAGGACACAAACTGAAGGACCTCAGGAAACCCATGATTACTCCTAACCATGTTTCTTTAATCCAGTTGTTTGTTACTCTGAATAAATTCAGTGGAATAGTACTGTCTGGATTAACAGGGTTTCACTGTATATAAGATTTGTGCGTTTGTGATTAATTTGTTTAAATTACCTGACATTAATTAACCAGATGGCGGCGGGGTAGCCTAGTGGTTAAAACATTCACCCGTCACTCCGAAGACACAGGTTTCGATTCCCGACATGGGTGCAATGTGTGAAGCCCACTTTTGGCCCCTGGCTTCATATTGCTGGATTATTGCTAAAAGCGACCTAAAAATATACTCCACCAGACAGTCAAGTGATTGATATTATGAGGAACGATCCATACCATCCCAACGAGACCACCCGATCCTTTAAGTCGCCTCTTACCAGCATAGGTTGTTGGGGACAGGGTTTGCCACGGGGTCAGGAACAGTTTGGCGTAATTATAATTTGTTAATACTGCTTAAAATAACAGATATAAAGCTGATAGTTCTCATACTGTGTCAGACGCCCTCTCAATAATTCAAGTGTCCACTTTTAATAAATGGAAAGGACAAATGGGAGGTTCAAATTATTACTAGTCCACGTAAAGTGTTACTAGCCGTGGGGCAACAGACTTGCAGCTATTTCAGACACTAGTCACAAATCCTCCAGTCCCTCTATGCATGTTGTGGGGGGCATGGGCGGCCCAGTCGTCTAAGACGCAGCAATTCGCTGTGCAGAGTTGTGTCCTTTGGGCACGCCAGAAACCAATGATTGTGGGTTCAAATCCTGGTTCATCCCCGTTTATGTTTCTAGGTTAGTCAGCACCATACCTATACTCGTGGGTTTCACCAAAGTGGTAAACGTCGAGACCTGCATCACCTAGGGCTTTCCTACTACATTAAACTGACACACCGTGATATTACTGGAATACTGTTTAAAGCGGCTTTTAACCCAACTCTCTCTCTCTCTCTCTCTCTCTCGCACGCACGCACGCACTCACTCACTCACTCACTCACTCACTCACTCACTCACTCACTCACTCACTCACTCACTCACTCACTCTCACTCACTCACTCACCCACTCACTCACTCACTCACTCACTCACTATGCATGTTGTAGGTTGTAGGACATAACTGTTTAAAGCGGCATAAAACCTAACTAACTCATATGAGTTTATCTTTATGTTCACATGCCTGCCCTCTATGTTAATATGGCCGAGTGGGGAGTCCTGGTTGGAATAGCTCCTCTGCATCCTATGCTGGTCATAAGTGGCGACGAAGGTGCCTTGGTGCATTGCATGTCTTTGGCATGGATTGTTGCTCACAATATTGATCACTGGATTGTCTGGTCCAGATTTGATTATTAACAGGTCGCCGTCGTATCGCTGGAATATTGCTGAGTGTGATGTAAACAGCAAACCCCCCCAACACACACACTAACACTATATTGATATTTACTAGGAGGCTTTCTGGCGTATTCCTGCACATCTGTCAGTGTCAGATCTCAACAACATCATCGATGGCCTGGAACTGGATGAAAATGGAGAACCTATAGCTGCAGAAAAAATAAAACCAGTTCAGAAGGAGAAGGCGGCGAAGAAACAGCGCAAGACAAAATCTGTGTCGGCATCACAGAAGAAGGACAGAAAAGCAGCAGAGCATCAGAAGAAGGAAGAGAAGATGCAGAAACAGAAAGAAGAAAAGAAAAAGACTCGGGACAGGATGAAAGCTCTGAAGGCGTTGGCCAAGCAGAGGAAGGACGGCAACAAGAGGAAGAGGTGAGTAGTGGCAGAGACGACATACCGAGGGACAGGTCCGGGGCTAGTTGGAGACTGATCACTGCCGTGCGAGACCAAGCTGCACTTTCACACGAGACTGTGCGAGATTCGAAGATTTACATGCGAGGGTTTTCGTGAATTGACTAATTTTACTGTCCAACCCCTTACATATTTATTAACGTTGTCTTCTTGATTTGTTAAAGGACATTTATTACATATAACTGTCTATATGTATATATATACATTGACATTATTGTGAATTAACGAACGGAAAAATTGTACCACATTCATGGCAGCCAGCAAATGGTAAGCTTGATCATGCCACCGGCGTGTGGTATTCATAAGCAATGTTACATAATGGAATCAAAATTCCATTCAATTCCATTTCAGAAAAGATACCAATAACACCTCAGACTCTGAGGAATCAGAGAAGGAAAATATTGGAGAGGAACCAGAAGACGCCAACATACTCAATGGCAACGTTCTGCTGGCATCTGGAGCAAGGGAGACAACTCTAATAAAGAAAAAGCCTCGAATTAAGAAAGTGGTCCAGTCTGATAGTGACAGGTATTGCTCCCACTTCCAGACATGACAAATAACCCATTAAGATCTGGGTTAGAATAGGTCTTCAGCAACCCATGCCTGTTATAATGGGATCAGGTTGTCACGCATATTGATTTGGTAGATGCATGTCATCGTATTCCAATTGAGTAGATCAGTGCTCATGATGTCAATCCAGCAAAAGGGGCACTAGTCCTGTAGTCCTTGCCAAAATCCCCAATAGATAAGGTATCATTAGGCTCGTAGATATTTGCCATTTTTAAGGGTTTTGCTACATGTTATTATTATATGGACTAGTGGACTGAAAATGTTCATTTCTATGCCTGCAATTACTGGATTGTCTGGTCAAAACTTGACTTATTTGCAGACCGCTGTCCTATTGCTGGAATATTGCTGAGTGCGGCAATAACAACATACAAACAAACATGACAAATCATGCAACGACAGATTGTACTTTTGTCTGAATTGTTTTTTCAGCAGCTTTTCTTTAATCTAGTTAATTATTTCATCTGCAAATTCAGTTCCATTTTTTAAATTCTAGAAGTATCTTGTGTAGTGTGTAATATTCTATGGTTGAGTTGCTGTCAAAGTGAGTAAGTTTGGTTTGACGCCGCTTTTAGCAATATTCCAGCAATATCTCGGCAGGAGACACCATAAATGGGCTTCACACATTGTACCCATGTCGGGATTCGAACCCGGGTCTTCGGCGTGATGAGCGAACGCTTTAACCAATGGGCTACCCGACCGCCCCAGTTGCTGTCAAAAGGCAGATCATATTATCAATGTCCTGAAGAGTTACAACCTTATGCTATGTTTCCAGTGATGACAACCGACTGATAATTGCTGGCAGTGAAAATAATGACTCCGAGGCTGAAAAAGATTCAAGTCGGCCCCCTGCGAAACGTCCTAAATTGTTTGACTCTGATAGTGACAACGACTCTCAACCAGTTTCTCAGCAGTCCGAGACAAGGGCGTCTCCAGAGAAGCAGAACAAACTGTTCAACTCAGACAGTAGTGAAGACGAAGATATGGACACTGTGGCACACTCCTCAAATGTTGTGAGAGGTGACCGAGTGCAGACGGATGAATCCAGTAATGATATTCCATCAGCCTCCATTGCCACTCAGATATCATCACACCTTGCCAATCAGTCACTCAATTCATCTCGGATCACTGTTGATGATGAGGCGTCTGTGACCTCCTTGGCAGACGTGAAAGAAAAGCAGACGGTCAAGTCAGACGACTCAGACAGCGATGCTGCGTCTGTGACTTCCTCCATAGTGCCCTTGCAGACAGGCAAGAAGATTCAGGAAAATAAGTTTGATGATGATTCTGAAGCTTCCTCGGTAACCACCCAGAAGAAAGGGAGAAAGCAAATAACGAAGAAGAGTAGGAAAATAAAATCAGATGATGATGAGTCTGGAGATGACTCCGAAGCTTCTTCTGTAACCACGCAGAAGAAAGAGCGAAAGCAAATGACGAAGAAGAGTAGAAAAATAAAATCAGATGATGAGAGATCTGATGTGGACTCTGAAGCTTCCTCAGTAACTATGGAGAAGAAAGGGCGAAAGAAAATGATGAAGAAGAGTAGGAAAATAAAATCAGATGATGAGATATCTGATGTGGACTCTGAAGCTTCCTCAGTAACCACCCAGAAGAAAGGGAGAAAGCAAATGACAAAGAAGAGTAGGAAATTAAAATCAGATGATGATGAGTCTGGAGATGACTCCGAAGCTTCCTCCGTAACTATGGAGAAGAAAGGGCGAAAGCAAATGACGAAGAAGAGTAGGAAATTAAAATCAGATGACGAGTCTGGAGATGACTCCGAAGCTTCCTCCGTTACTATGGAGAAGAAAGGGCGAAAGCAAATGACAAAGAAGAGTAGGAAATTAAAATCAGATGATGACAGATCTGATGTGGACTCTGAAGCTTCCTCCGTAACTATGGAGAAGAAAGGGCGAAAGCAAATGACGAAGAAGAGTAGGAAATTAAAATCAGATGATGACGAGTCTGGAGATGACTCCGAAGCTACTTCTGTAACCCCACAGAAGAAGGGGAAGAAACAGATGACAAAGAAGAGTAAGAAATTAAAATCAGATGATGATAATGAAAAGTCGGACAGTGAATCAGAAGCTTTGGTTACCTTGCAGAAGAAAAAGAAAAACCTGACATCGAAGAAGGGCAAGAAGTTTATATCAGATGATGATGACACTGAATCAGTTAAGTCAGGAAGTGTCCAGAAAAAATCTTTGAAAAAGCCAGGAAGCAAACAAAGGAATGAGACAACTGGTTCAGATTCTGAAGATGAGGTACTGTCAGCAGTAAAGAAGACTTCTGCTCAGAGGAAGCGTGTAGATTCGGACAGTGTGTCAAATGCGTCATCTGTGTCAAGAAGCGCAAAGAAAAAGCCTGCCAAGAAACCAGCGAAGAAGAATGAAACTGATGAATCGTCCCAGAAAGCTAAGCCGACGCCAAAGACAACAAAGGGCAAGAAAGGTACAACAAAAAGTACAACTAAATCTAAGCAAAAGAAGAAAGCTGTTGATGAGAGTGAAGATGAACCTTTGGAGAAGTTCTCAAAATCTAAGAGCACCAAGTCTGATGACTCCAGCTCTGAGGATGAACCTATATTGGCATTAGTCAAAGCTAAAACATCCCAGGTGAAGAGACAACGCCCACAAGACTCCAGCAGTGATGACGAGGTTCTGGCTTCAGTGAAGAATCCTGAGAAACGCCAGCGCGTGACAGAGTCAGACACAGAAATGATGTCTCCACTCCAGCTGGCTGTGACCCCAACCCAGGATTCCACACAGGAGGTCACACAGGAGGTCAAACAGGACCCCCGGAAGCTGTTCAACTCGGATGATGACAGTAGTGATGACGAACCTCTTATCAACTCAAGGAGAGACACAGGATCCAAGGCGACAGGTGAGTGTCATCAACAGTTGTTGTGGAGATATTTGCAGTTGGAAAACAAGCTGGAATGTAGCATGAACATTATTCATCTACAGACATGATTTCGTTCATAAACATAAAGAAACTGCAAGAGATTAAGTGGCATTTTATTGGCTAAGCAAGCAATTTTTTCTGTGTTTATGTTTCCATTAGCCAAAAATATATTAGGCTCACTCTGTCAATAGAATGGGTGGGACTGGTGTTGCATTCCTGTCAGTGGTATTGTACTATTATTGTTGATGTAATTTCTAAGAAGAATTGACTACAATATGTATTTGTGTTATTTGTGTTTGAGTTAATAACGTAAATCTTGGTAAGTCCGCTATGCAGATTTACACAGTTTGCACCCCCATTTTTACATTAATACCTCGCTTAATTGCAAAAAATATTTATCATTATTTGTTATTAGACTGGCCAGTTGCCATCTTGTGAAAACCAGCAGGGAGGTCTGTATAGACATGATGACGTCTTAGTGTCTGATGTTACATCACAATTAACCCTGGTTACACTTCAAGTTACCATACAGAGTTTCTCATGGTGGCCTCAAGATAGATCTTTTTGTCAGACATAAATATTTCATTGAAAATAATTCTTTAAAATGTGTGAACATGTCTCGTGGAGAACCAGCCTAATTTTACTCGTCAAATCCTGTTGTCTCCGCTATTAACAAATGGAATTCATTGAATTGCATTTTGTAGCAATAATGGGTAAATACTTTCTCATTGTACCTGTGAAGATCTGGGGTAGAATAGGTTTTCAGCAACCCATGCTTGCCAGAAAAGGTGACTATGCTTGTCGTAGGAAGGCAACTTAACGTGATCCGGTGGTCAGGCTCGCTGACCTGGTTGATGCATGTCATCGTATCCCAATTGCGTGTTCATGATATCAATCACTGGATTGTCTGGACCAGACTCGATTATTTACAGACTGCCGTCATATAGCTGGAATATTGCTGAGTGCGGCGTTAAACAACGAACCAACAAACTTTCTCTTTGTGATGGTGATGTTCAGCAGAAACGTACAGGTTGTGTTATCAGATTGTTGTATGTGGTGTTGTGTTGTTGACAGACACCTTCCCCGCCACATTGCTGACTCAGCCGGCTGGGGAGTCCGACTCAGATGTTGACGATCATGTTCCACTACGGAGAGTCCTCAAGAAGAAGAAGGTCATCGACAGTGATGATGATTAACGCAGTATACAGAACTGTCAGATGTGATTGAGTCATTGCCTTCACGTGCAACTCAGTTGTGTGATTGGCCTCAATCTGTGTCATGTGTCTGACAAGCTGTGGACGAAGAAAGTTCTGGCTTAGTGTGAAACGTGGTCATTTGTATGGAGAGTTCTCATGAAGGTCATCAACAGTGATGATGAACGTTGCAGCATACAGCATTGTCTGATGTGATTGAGCTCTTGTCTTAGTGTGAAACGTGGTCATTTGTCTGGCCTCAAGCTGTGTATGGAAAGTTCTCGTGAAGGTCATCAACAGTGATGATGAACGTTGCAGCATACAGAATTGTCTGATGTGTTTGAGCTCTTGTCTTAGTGTTCAACTCAGTCATTTGTCTGGCCTTTGGTTGTGTCATGTGTCTGACTTGAAGCTGTGTATGGAGAGTTCTCAATGTCATTGACAGCAATGATGTTTGATGCTGTATACAGAAATGTCTGATATGATTAAGCTCTTGGCTTAGTGTGAAACATGGCCGTGTGTCAGGCCTCAACCTGTGTATGGAGAGTTCTCAAGAAGAAGGTCATCGACAGTGATGATGAAAGTTGCAGCATACAGCATTGACTGATGTGATTGAGCTCTTGAAACTTGATCGTGTGTCTGGCCTCAACCTGTGTATGGAGAGTTCTCAAGAAGAAGGTCATCGACAGTGATCATGAACATTGCAGGATACAGCATTGTCTGATGTGATTGAGCTCTTGCCTTAGTGTGAAACGTGGACGTTTGTCAGGCCTCAAGCTGTGTATGGAGAGTTCTCAAGAAGAAGGTCATCGACACTGATGATGAATGTTGCAGGATACAGCATTGTCTGATGTGATTGAGCTCTTGCCTTAGTGTGAAACGTGGACGTTTGTCAGGCCTCAAGCTGTGTATGGAGAGTTCTCAAGAAGAAGGTCATCGACAGTGATGATGAACGTTGCAGCATACATCATTGTCTGATGTGATTGAGCTCTTGCCTCAGTGTGAAACATGGTCGTTAGTCTGGCCTCAACCTGTATCAGGCTTGCTGCTGGGATGACCTAGTTCAGGATTAATCATAGACAGCAGGCATGATATCGATGGGATATTGCTGACAGCTGTTTTAAACTACGTGTACATTCACTAACTCACAATTTACTTACATTGCTGCACTTTATCTTGTAATATATGGATGTACAGATAACATTGGAAGTGATCACATTGTCAGCACATATATGTCTGCATATTGCATGATGTCCATGTATTAAGACGAGGAGGATTTTGAAAATGGGATTTTCTTAAAAAGTCCAGATTTTCTTAACTTCAGAAGTAGTTAAATATTGCACTCAGTGCAAAAATAAGAAACTAAACATTAAAGCCTCTTATTGTTTATTGGGGCTGTTGCCAGTGTAATGCAGGTCACCCCTCTACAAACCAGTCACTTTAGATAGTACTGTAATAACGTGACGGTATCACTGTGCGAATTATTACTGACATTTGCTTCAGACTTAGGGCTGATTATCTGCCCATGAGGAGGATTGTATGAATCCCTCATGACCTTAAAATCTCATTACAATCAGATCTTACTCTTATGTGATAACTCTCTGCGTGAAGGACACCTCCATCGGAGGTCACGTCACTTTTTGCATTTTATCGTGCCCTGATGGATTGGATTGTTGTTGATGTGGTACCAGTTGAGACCGGTTTGTCTTGTCCAGACATGTTTGTTAACACATCACTGTGATATATATCGCTGGAATATTGCGGACTGTGACGTTAAACAATGTTCAAATATTCACTCACTCACTCATTCACTGATTCAATGGCAGGAAGGTCATGTACTAAATAATGTAAAAATTCAACCATAATCTTATTTTATGAGGGTATGTTTAGACGTGACATGAATGTCACGTCCACATATTCGCACCCGTCAGGTTTTACAAGGTAGACACAATTTTATGGATAACAACTTCTTTAATACTGTAAAAAGCGACGTTTCAGTATAGATCCTTATACCGTTGTCAAGCAAGACTGACAGTATAAGGATCTATACTGAAACGTCGCTTTTTACAGTTTTAAGAAGTTGTTATCCATAAAATTGTGTCTACCTTGTCATCTGTCAACTTCTAAGAAATGCCTATCACACAATTTCGTCAGGTTTTAGCTACGAATCAGAAATTTGTCTTGGATTCTAAACTTCGTACCCTTGGCAGGCAAATTGGGAAAATGTTGTTCAAAATTTGGAATTTTCTTATGTATTTTAACAATGTTTTTTAACATTGCATACAATGCAATAATGAAAAGCTGTGCATTTAATCCTCTTCCTCTATATTGGTCCCGTGATCAGTGATATATTAGTCCCCTCTTCAATGCCATAACATCAGGATTGAATTAGGAAATTTGTTCATCCCAATATGGGATACTTGCTGCAGACATGGGGCGAAGGACGGCCTTTGAGCAGGTCTGGCAACATCCCTGATGACCTGGAGTTATATATAGATTAGATTATAACAGTAACAGAATTGTTTAGGTTATATTAATTCATATTTTGTTTTGCTCATGTTATTTATGGTCAGTAGTAACAGCAAGCACAGCATCACATGGTTCTGGTGTTGTGATGACAGTTCTGCTGTGTTTCCCCTGATACATCCACGGCAGTAACTGTTGGAACTGCAGTACTTCACCTCTTATATAGTCATGTATACATTATGTATGGTATAAATAAAGTGCTATCAATCTTTGTGTGTTCATGTAACTGCATGTAACATGCTCCATATAGGACGGTGCTTCATGGTCTAGTGGACAAAGTGTCTGCCTGGAAAGCGAAATGATGGGGTTCGATCCCTGGCTGCGTCATACCAAAGATGGTACTTGTTACAGAAGTAACCCTTGTTTCCTTAATGAAGATCCGGGGTAGAATAGGTCTTCAGCAACCCATGCTTGTCGTTAGAGGCAACTAACGGGGTCTGGTGGTCAGGCTCGCTGGCTTGGTTGATGCATGTCGTAGTATCCCAATTGCGTGGATCGATGCTCATGATGTCAATCAGTGGATTGTCTGGACCAGACTCGATTATTTACAATTACAGACCGCAGTCAAATGGCTGGAATATTTCTGAGTGTGGCGTTAAACAAACAAACAAACTTATTGTAGTGATGTCAGTGTACTGCTTATAACTTTATTATTTGGATGATGGAGGATAGGAGTTTATGTGTTAAAGTTATGCATTGTGTATTTTCAAATCTACTTAATATTCACATTGCAATCCTTTACTCAGTTTGCAACTCTTTTTGCCATGTCTCCTTATTACTGATTATTTAGATGTATTTTGTTATCAGGGTGTGCGTGTCCATGTATGTGTGTGTGTTGTAGTCTTGTGCCAAAGGCCTGTGTTCGATTCCCCACAATGTGTGAAGCCCATTTTTCATGTCAGTTCTCGCCATTGCTGGAATGATGCTAAAGCTGTGTAAGACCCAAGTCACTCATTTCAGGTGACCATGCTTGAGGTCAGTTCCCGAATTAGTAGATGCTTGGAGAGCGGAAGGTTAATGATTCGATTCCCTCGCCATGTTATGCCAAGAGACGTTAAGAGATTGTACTCTGCTCGGCATCAAAGGGATTAAAATTTGACTTGTCGGCTTTGAGTCAGTATTATGTGTCTTATCCATGTTAAACTGGCGCATGGCATCTCAATGGGATAACTCTGGACCAATACAAGTGAGGGCACACACACATTTCGCTATAGATGTTAAACCCCATTTCCCTCATTAGGTTTCATTTCAGAAATGTATTGATAAATGAAACAAGTTTTCTTGGTGCCTCGTCAACTTCCAAATCAACATACGAGTGTGTATGTATTGCAACAGTTTTACAAAAAGTCTAAGTCCCACCCGTTTTTAAGCCAAGTGTTTTTGTGATCAGCTTAAGTTTAAAATGCGTGCATGAGAAACACAATGATGAGAGCAGAATTGGGACATTATTAAGCTAGGTGACTTATGCCACCTTTGTGTGTCTGTCTGTGCCCATACCCATACAGGTTAGACAGTTCTAGCTCACTGAGCTGCAGTGCCACAGTTTAACATGAATACCTCACTGACAAAGACACTCTTGTTTTAAATGATGAGAGCCAGGCAGGGTATCAACAAGTACCATATTTGTACATCTTTTGTTATGATGCACCAGAGTATCGAGTTCCTACATTCAACCTGGGATTTGAAACCACAATCATAGTTTCCTAGCACAGCTTAGCAACTGGGATATTGTGAGTGAGTGAGTATGGTTTTATGCCACTTTTAGCAATATTCCAGCAATATCACGGCGGGGGACACCAGAAATGGGCTTCACACATTGTACCCATGTCGGGAATCGAACCCGGGTCTTCGGCGTGACGAGCGAACTGGGATATTGTGTGGCCTATAGGTACAAACACCTATACACATGGACAGCAGTTAACTCGCTCACTGACTAGCATCTTCATCCTTCCAGCACAACATATTGTAAAACGAAACAGAAACGGTCATATTCAAACAGTTCAATTTTTTTATTCATGATTTTGGCAACACATTTTTACAGCTTTTGTCAACTGGAAAATACCATACACATGGAGTATGGTTCAGTTCATAAAGCGAAGTGAACCACACTCTTCTTATAAATGAAAACAATCAAAAAAAACTTTCCAACAAGTTACTGAATATATTATAATTGTATACTCAACTTTAATATAGTGAAGTGGGCAAACCGAGTCATGTGACCAGAAGACGAATACTGAAGTAGCAATACTTGATATGTGATGGCCCTGAATAATGAATGTGTGCCCAAGTGGGATTTTAAGCAATGAAAATGACATCTACTTTAGCCCATTAGAAATTGTGAATTTTGGTTCTTATCATTGGTAAATATGATTAAGGTTGTCATTGAAAAAGTAAAAAAATAATTTAGGGGCACCTTGCTTTCAGGGAAATAAAATGATATTCAGGTCATCCAACATGAGAGCCACGATTGGCTAGTTGATGGGTCACATGACAACCTTTACCCAATCACTGTGCTTGACCATGTATGCTATGGCAGTAATAGCATGATGCTGTTGCAACCTACAGGCCATTGAATAATGGGTAGAATTTGATAGGTTTCCAATAATACTCGTGGAAATCACTTTTTACTGAACTACAACATCGTCTTACATATCTTTATATCTTCACAAACTATATATAGTATCCCATATATTCAGACAGAGGGAAAATAGGATCACCTGGATGTTAAAACATGTTACATGTACCATAAAATACACCAAGTCTCAAAATATATTTTCCTAACAAATATACAAGTCTATCAGCAACTCACAAGACAACAGAATTTTTTTTTATTACTGCAGTGTAAACTTTGTATCAAAAAATTATGTTCACAGACAGTAAGAAAAATATAGAATTATATAAGGACTTTACAGAAGGAATTGTATTGCTTTGATTGGAAATTCATTGCACTTAAAACTTACAATCATTGTCAGCAAAATACTGAATAAATTGCACTTTGTCATTGCACACCATCCTTGACATTCAAAATGGGAAAAAAAATAATGAATTATTTCAATTCTGTTTCATGATGTTTGCTTGAATACTTGAATACTGGCTTCCAATGAATAAACAAAGTAAAAAAAATACTGATAACCTGCCAAAGATGTCTTATAAAGAAGCAAACAAACAAAAATAGAAAGAAAGAAATATATTTGTTTATCATTATATTTTCACTTCTTGAAATTTGTATTACACTCAATGCATCCATGTGTAATTCCTTCGAACATTACTGTATAAACCGCTTGGCCTAGCTGATCACCACGGTGTCTACGTACCTTATACCACAACTGCCTTCAAATCACATTTCCCGGTACCAGTTAATTATCACAGAAATGCTAGCCCTTTCCACTCCAAGGTTTGGGAACTAAGGGAGGTAACTATCCTGTGGGACTCCATGGAAATAATTATGACTTTTCTCGAATTTTGGAAAGGCTAGGTAGAATCTAATGCGACACAAAATGGTTTATAGTGACGAATAATCGCTGCCAGAGAGGAATAGAATGCTCCAAATGTTCGTACAGGATGGGATCCTCTAATATTGAAGTGATAATAGGGAAAACAAAATATTATAACATGTATGAGGTAGCAAACAGTCTCCCTACTACAAGAGAGAATACAGACAAGACTAGGGATTTCACATGTTGATTCCATTCCTGTATCCGATCGGATCCTACTTCGACGCATACTTTACACAAAATCATCAGCATCACAAATAGTTATAACTAAGAGGCCTAGCAGAAAGCTTGAAGCCCCAACTGACTAGATTGACTTGTTTCTATTGAAAAAAAAATCGGTTGCAGAAATATGACTTCGAGCCCTTCAGGTAGGTCTAAGGGAGACAACCCTGAGATAAAGGGAAGTAACTCCTATATGGATGATGGTTAAGCTATGAGTAAATTTAATAATAAATCAACATAGCACTCTGTGGTTGGTTCCAGCACCAAAACTGCATTTCTATAATAAGACAACAATACACAAACAGTCTAGCTGGAACAGCATGTACTATGGTCAACACTCCAACATGGACAAAACCCTGATTAGTTGAAGCTAAATCCCACACACATAAGGTAAAATGAAAACAAACGAAACTTCACACAATATGTTCAGTAAACAAACTGCACCAATGGTCAAGCACAGTGCATATTCTTTTTTATTTGTTTTTTTTTTGTTTTTTCATCGTTTTTTGTCAACCATCATTATCCACATAAATATTGTTTCATGAGAGCTTCGAATATTCTCACAGATACGGTTGTGCGATATGTACAGGCGCCCTACACTGCCGGATGTCCCACACTGCCACTGAGCTGAGATGGAAGCCATCACTGTACACAAGACAATGGACGTGCAAATAATGCTGGCTATTTTGGGGGAATATTTTGACCTTGTCTGCTTCCACCCTTTTGTGACATAGTGACACACACGAGCATTGTAGGACTCTGTATTCACATGAATTCTTTACACATGGTCCTTCTTATACTTAGCGTATTCCCATTCCACACACTTCAGTCGATATCCTAAAAAGACACAAAAATTTGAAAAAAAATCCTCTCTTTTTTCCAGCAATTTATGAAAGAAATGTTTGTCACCAAATCACTCATAATCTATAATCAAATTGGGAAAATTCTGCAAGAGATATACCGGGGAACAATCATCAGATTATACAAAGAAACAATATTATGTCTTTTGCTGAATTAAGACTATATCTCTGAATTATGGCATGTTTTTCGCATAAAAAATCATTGTCAATGTTCCCATGACACTTTTACAAACATTTCCCAACTTACAAAACACACTTCTCTCATGCTAACTTATGACACATTTTATCATTAACAAAACAAGAAACTATATTCAACTGGATTGAGCTCAATCTGACCAAAAATGACAGACCAGTCCTCTGGTATTGCGATGAAAAACTTACAGGACGGCATCTAGACTGGAGGACGAGAAATGGCAACGGATGCTTATTGATTCATGATGTGGGTGTTCAGTAACACCTTATCTTCACAGTTTCCGAGTATAGAAATCTCGTATCCCCCTCCCCACCCACCCACCCCCTTGCTCCGTCATCTAGGGTCAGAGAGAAGCCGATTGGCCTAAGCCATGTAATATCGTGACGAAAGAAACAACACCCGCAAACAAGGAAGATAAGTATTGCAAACACAATATTGCA